GAATCAATAAGAGCTTATTTCGAGCAAATGAAGAGCCATTTGAGCGTGGGAGAGAGTGAGAGAGCGAGAGAGCGAGAGAAATTTGAGCGAGAGAGAGCGATAAAGATAGATATGGAGAGAGATGGGGAGAGAAAGAGAGAGAGAGCGAGAGAGAGAGAGAAAGTGGGAGAGAGACAGCGAGAAAGAGAGAGAGAGAGAGAGAGAGAGAGAGAGAGAGAGAGAGAGAGAGAAAGAGAGAGAGCGAGAGAGAGAGTGCCAGAGAGGGCAGAGAGAGAGAGAGAGAGACAAGGAACGAAGAAGCGAGGGAGAACCAGATATCTACCAACCTTTTCAGCGTGCTCCAAAATCTCCCGCAACGAATCCGTGGCGAAACTGGCGCAAACTCCGCAAGAAAAAACTTTTTCCTAAACAGCAAAGTCTTTAATGGGGCCTAGCAAGTCGGCAAACCGTTTGCGAAGAATGTTGTTGTGAAATGGAGGCTGCTTGGCCGGCTCCGCCCGGTCCGGTGATGCTCTGACTTACTAAAAATTGAGGATATAACGAATTTCAAATGATTTCTGCTAGCCTGGCTAAATTCCCAAATGCTCACTGCTAGCTTGCCGAGCGCAACGATTGAAATTTGTCTAAAAAATCACCTAAGGAACTCGGCAGCTCCTGAACGGCGTGCAAATGTTTGTCGCTTTGCATGTGGATCGATAGATTGCCCTTGGTGGTCGTGCTGAAAAATCAATTAAGTTCAAAAACACGGCGCGCTACGGTTAGTTCGGTAATTTTAAGAATGCTAAAAATTAAAAAATTTTTGAAAAATAAAAATTTATTTTTAAGGATAGAGATTATACTTCGTCGTCCCCCCGGGGGGGATCCCCCCACAAGGGGGGACCAGGGGGGGACCGCAAGGGGGGATGGTGGGGGGACCCAGGGGGGGACGGTGGGGGGGATGGGGAGGGGATCCTCCCCCTCCCCCTCCCCCCCTCCTCCTCCCCCAGTTTTTCTGGCACCCGTATTGCGTAGTCGGGAAAACTAAATCGAACCTTCTAGTTGGAGTTCCACATACGTTTTTTGGATAGTCTGGTGTTTTGATGTTTAGATTAAGTTTTTTTACTTTTTAAAATTAATGACGAATTCGAAAATTCTGGTTGAGCTCGCCCGACAAGACATACTAGAAAGCTCTGATTTACCTGACCTGAGCAGAGTATCGATGAAAAATCAGAGTGTATACCAACCCAAAATTTTAAATAATTGAAAGGCTGGGCACTCAAATCTTTGAGACTGTAAAAATTTGAAAATTAGAGCAAATTAGCTCGTCGGGGCTCTCGGCATTAGAGAACATTCGACTACCACGTGCTGCTGTATTTTAAAATATCAAAAATAGCAGCTCTTTAACAAGTATTGAGATCTATCTAACCACACATTGCGCGCACTTGCGAGTCGGGGGATCCCCAGTGGTCCCCCACCGTCCCCCCTGGGTCCCCCACCATCCCCCTTTGCCGTCCCCCCCTGGTCCCCCCTAGTGGGGGGATCCCCCCGGGGGGGACGACGAAGTATAATAGAGATTTCAGTTAAATGAAATCTATCAAAATTGCTACCGTAATCCTTTTAGATAAGTTGATCCTCACCTGTACTTGCAAAGTTCACATCGGTAGGGCTTGTAGCCGCAGGAGTAGGTCTCGCCACGGCTCAACTTTGGATGTGGTCGATTCTCGACGCAGTAGAGGCAGCGGACCTAAAAATTTGGGAATTTATCTATCTCTCTCTCTCTCTCTCTCTCTCTCTCTCTCTCTCTCTCTCTCTGTTTCTCGCGCTCTCTATCTCTGTTGCTCTCTCTCTCTCTCTCTCTCTCGCTCTCTCTCCCACTCCTGTTCCGACCGCTTAAAAAATCATACCTCAGTCTCCGAGTGCTTCTCCTTCATGTGGATCTCGAGCGTCTCCTGGTACTTGTAGTGCCAATTGCATTTCGGGCACTGAAAAGAAATCATAACGTTTCTATGGCGCTCTCTCTCTCTCTCTCTCTCTCTCTCTGCTCTGTCTGTCTCTAGCTTTATTTCCTGAATCCCTCAATAATTCTCCCAAAATTTCGCTCAACCTTCATTCGCCAATTTTTCATTGAGGAGCCAAGTCTACCTTTAATCCGGCTCGAATGAAAATCCGGCCGAAAAGTCGAAATCTGGATTTTCGTAGGGATCAGCGTACGATAAGCCAAGCTTTCCGTTCACTCCCCCGCGAGAGAGAGAGATAGAGAGAGAGAGAGAGAGGGAGCGCGCGAGATAGAGGAGAGAGAGAGATAGCGAGAGAGAAAGTGAAAGAATTTCAGATCCACTCTCATTAGTAAGGTCGACTATTCGTTATCTCTCTCACACTACCTCTCTCTCTCCCTTCCTCTCGTTCTCTCTCTCTATCTCCCTATCTCTCTCCACCTTTCCAAAAACAAAATACGGAAATTAGCCGCCGCTCAGCCTGGTCCTTTTAGGCTTTCGGGGGGCGGCGAGGGTGGATCTGGCAAGTTTGATTGGAGATATCTCCTGATGAATGGCCACTCCGGAGTTTTATCGGAAAACAGAATTAGGTCCCAGAAAGTACACTAAGAATGTAAAACTGCCTAGAATCAGTGGCGAATATTTTTTCATGCAAATTCAGCCAGAGAAAGAGAGAGAGAGAGAGAGAGAGAGAGACTCTAGTAGCTTAAGTCCGCAAAAATCACCTTCAACGTCTTGCTCGAATTCCGCAACGCTGCCATACCCAGATCCAGCGGCGAGTTGAAGAGGTGCCCAAAATCGAAGGGGTTGGGTACGGTAGACGGTTCCGGGTCGGGTCCCAGTTGGAAGGCGGGCTGGCGTTGCTCATCTGGAAATACGGCAAACTTATCCATTCCCAAGGTAATCTCTGCTAGCCTGCCCTTTCCAAAAGAATCTCTGCTATCCCGCTCTAGAAGCTCGGTATTTTCGAGGGAATCCGACCCCCGGCGGCAAATTAGTGGAATTAGGGGCATCTCGTAGTCACCCAGAGGGATTTGCCTTTTTCTGGCCACTAGCTTCTCATCCCCCTAAAGAGCATCCGGGGGATAGACCGCCGTGAAGCCCAAATTAATTCCCAAAATTGCCTCAGCTACCCGGGAAAACAGACTTGAAACCGCTGCAGTAGGGCAGCAAGGCATAGCTATCAAGGTTAGGCTTAGGCTTAGACTTAGACTTAGGCTTAGGCTTAGGCTCAGGCTTAGGCTTAGGCTTAGGCTTAGGCTTAGGCTCAGGCTTAGGCTTAGGCTCAGGCTTAGGCTTAGGCTTAGGCTTAGGCTTAGGCTTAGCATAGGCTTAGGCTTAGGCTTAGGCTTAGGCTTAGGCTAGGCTGAGGCTGACAGGGGTCGCTTGTCAAACCCCCAAAAACTGACCTAGCTGCCCGAAGCTGTTGAGAATGTTCCTGAGGCTCAGCTCCATCGCGGCTCCACCGTTTTGCTGTCGATTTTGGGCTGACGGCGATCGGCTGGTGCCTCCAGAATCCGTCGACGACGACGACGGGCCTGCCTGGGTGTCCAGCCTGCAAAAAACGACGTTTTAAAGGTCCCGCGAAAGCGAAAAACATCTTTTTAAAGGTCCAGACAAGGCAGAAAATCTTTTTTAAAGCTGTAGTGGCGACAAAAACACGTTTTAAAGGGCCAATGAAGGCAAGGCAGGAATGATAAAGAGACGCAGAAACCAGAAAAATTTTTTTAAAGGGGCAGTGAAGGTGAAAGGTTTTTCAGAACCAATAAATTAGTTAATAAGAATTGGTGGGATCGTAAGATTTTGGCTAAAACGCTGCGGGAGCCGCGCTCGTTAATCCCAGGTCCGGATGTCGATTACCAGCATTAGGAGGATTAAGATTTGGAATTAGAATCCCCCAGCAGTACCGGCATTCCGAATAAACCCCTAATTTGAGGTGGTAATCTCCGACTTTTGGGAGGAGAGAGTGAGATCGAGAGAGAGCGCGAGAGTGAGAGAACGAGAGAGAGAGACAGAGAGAGAAAGAGAGAGAGAGAGAGAGAGAGAGAGAGAGAGAGGGAGGGAGAGAGGGAAAGCGAGTGTAAGAGAGAGGGAGAGAGAGAGAGAGAGAGAGAGAGAGAGAGAGAGAGAGAGAGAGAGAACGTACCCATACTGCGCGAGGTGCTGCAGGCTGAAATCCGACATGGTCCTTCTTGGAGTTGTTGTCGTCACTCAGGCATTTTCTATAAAAAAAATATGTGACGTAATTTGCATAAACACACCAGAAATTAAAAAAAAATACTATAGAAAACATTAAACATTCCATAAAAAACAAAATAGACGATAGAGAGTACGAGAGAGATAGAAAAATAGAGAGAGAGATAGAGAGAGAAAACTCGAAAGCGAGAGAGGGAGCGAGATAGAGAGAGAGACGCGAGAGAGAGGAAGAGGAGAGAGCGAGAGAGAGAGAGAGAGAGAGAGAGAGAGAGACAGAGAGAGAGAGAGAGAGAGAGAGAGAGAGAGAGAGAGAGAGGGAGAGAGAAATCAAAAATGAAGGAGGCAAGAGACGAAAAGTCAAAAATGTCGCGTAAATGCCAGGAAATACGGTAATCGGCCCCCGGATGCCATAGTCTCCACCGTAAGTAGTAGCATCCCGGAAAATCCTTAACAAACCCACAAAAAAGCACCCAATCCGTTCTATCGCATCGCGCGCCCTCGGTTTCGCGAAAATAAAATTCTGACAACGGATGAGGAAAACAATGGGGGAAAGCTCGCGGCTAATCCCTATTTAATTTATCCTCTAATTCCGGATACCAAGAGGCTGACATTGCGAGGGTGGAGGGGGCTGAAAGCCGCAGCCTCCGGAAATTTTTGTAATCAAAACGGAGTGTGAACGCCCTCATCTAGTCTGCTTTTATTGTTTTCGAAAAGTCAAGGCATGAAAACGGACCGAACGCCATAAAGATAGAAAACGATAAAGGTTGCTACCGTAACCATGCCTTCAAGGAGTTAAGCTTACAAATGCATGCAAAAGGAATAAAGCGGATTGAAACGGAATCGAAACCAAAAAAAATACCGTTGTCATCTCATCGTGAAACGGAAAAATCAGTGACTGCTGTACCGCAATTGAAAAAACCTGAAAATGGCGGGACGCCGAAGCCTACAGTACCGTAAAGCGGAAAATCCGGAAACTACCGTACTTTTTTATAAGCTAGAAATTCCGAGTAACTCACAGCGAATGTCTTAATAGAGATTTTAGTAATATCTATTTTAGTAATATTTAGTAATTGCACCCGGAAAAAATATCTAAAAACTTCAAAAAAAAGGTCGAAATTTTGCTCAAAATCGGGCATTTTTGGTCGAAAAATCGATATTTTGTATATTGTTTAATAAAGCTTTGTAAACTTTTCACCTTTATGTAACGTAAAAAACCATTAGAGACACTTCAACTATTTATGTTTTAAAAATTAGATGCTAAGGAAAATTTTGGACAAAGTCGCATCAAAATTCCCAAAATTTGGCCCTACAGTAACCTCAGGAAAACCGGAACTCAAAAATAGGTAAGCAAGCGAATTTTGACCCTCGGAAACGCCAGTAATAAACCCCCGGAAAACGATGATTTTCCGGGGTGGCCCCCCAGAACAGGCAATAAGCCGATTCCGGCGCGGCGACGCAACGTATTTTGTTGTTTATCGTACGCGTCGATTAATGACGATTTTCCATTATACACCCCCTCATTACGCCCCGAAAAAGCTCGGGCATCATCCCCGACTTTCGCGGATTGAACGTCTCGAAATTGACGATTACGCGCTGCTACGTAATGACGGTTGAGGCGTATTAAAAAAGTACTATGGGAGCTGGGCGTAAAAAGATCAGAAAGCTAGGCTTAGGCTTGAGTTTATGCTAAGGCTTAGGCTTAGGCTTAGGCTTCGCTTAGGCTTAGGCTTCGCTTAGGCTTTGGCTTTGGCTTAGGCTTAGGCTTCGCTTAGGCTTCGGCTTCGCTTAGGCTTTGGCTTAGGCTTAGGCTTAGGCTTCGCTTAGGCTTAGGCTTAGGCTTCGCTTAGGCTTCGTTTCGGCTTAGGCTTAGGCTTAGGCTTAGGCTTAGGCTTAGGCTTAGGCTTAGTCTTAGGCTTAGGCTTCGTTTCGCCTTATGGTTTGCTTAGGCTTTGGTTTAGGCTTAGGCTTAGGGTTAAGCTTAGCTTAGGCTTTGGCCTAGGCTTATGCTTTACTTTAGGCTCAGCTCAGGATTGGGCCTGACTTTACACAATGAAATTTTCCAAGAAGGCGACTCGATCGGTATTATTTGCAGCGAGGGCCTGACCCGAATCTCAAAAAAATCCCCGCTTGGATTAGCTGGAGGGTAGAAAATCCGGACACAATTCGGATTTGGATTTGGAGCTGGATCTATCAATCTTTCGGGCCGGACCAGCTCTATTGCCCGGGTGATTATGGTGGACTTATCTAAGCAATTTCGGTTTCAGGGAGCGGGTCGTCGCCGAGAAAAACATTATTTAGGAAGAGGCAAACTGGCAGAGATTCTTGAGGGAAGGGCAGGCTAGCAGATATTCTTTAGGAAAGGGCAGGCTAGCAGAGATTCTTTAGGAAAGGGCAGGCTAGCAGAGATCGTCGAGACGCCTCGAATTAATTCCCATCAGATGTGTTAGACGATGTGTTGGCTAGCGCCAGCTAGCCAACCCCGGCCGGGTGGAGCAATTAGCGGATGGGTCGGAGGGGGAGGTGGTCGTTCGTTGGTTAGAAGTGTAGAGAAGGGGGGATGGGCCACATCCCCCAAAGACTCCCCTTCACTCCTAATTGCGTTAATCGGATCGACTAAAGGGGGTAGGGGGAGGGCCCCCTATGTCCTCTACACATCCCTAACATCGGCGCTACCTTCTGGCGGATCTGGAAATTGGGGGTTGATTAGGCTCGGCTTAGCTTAGGCTTAGCCTGGAGTTAGCTTGGGCTTGGGATTCGGTCTAGCCTTAGGCTTCGCTTAGGCTTAGGCTTAGGCTTAGGCTTCGCTTAGGCTTAGGCTTAGGCTTAGGCTTAGGCTTAGCCTTAGGCTTCGCTTAGGCTTAGGCTTAGGTTTATGCTTAGGTTTAGGCTTAGGCAAAGCTTAGGCTTAGGCTTCGCTTAGGCTTAGGCTTAGGCTTAGGCTTAGGCTTAGGCTTCGCTTAGGCTTAAGTTTTAAAGGTAGCTGAAAGCCTACCAAAATGAAATTAAACACAAAAAACTAGACGGCCTAGGGACCAGCCTTTTGCCGAGAAAAACAATTGCTGAAAGCGGCAATCTGGGGGTTTTGGAAATGTAATAGAAATGGATTAGTGTTATGGGAGGATCTGGAGATTTGGAGGCTTTGCCGGCTGTGGAAATGCGGTGATTATTTGTATAGAGAAATTAAGCTGGTGGAAGAGAAAGAGAGAGAGAGAGAGAGAGAGAGAGAGAGAGAGAGAGATAGATAGAGAGAGAGAAAGCTCCAAAACACATCTTCCTCAAGCCATGTAAATTAGAGCAAATTTCACAAGTTGAAGTGAAGCCGAAGGGCTGCGTAGTCGCGAATTTGGGGGAAAGAGAGGGGGAAGGGGAGGATTGAGGGTGCTAACAAGTCTTGGTTCCTCGTTAAGACTTCGTTAGCCTCGTTAGCAGAGCCATCTCCTCAATCTCTCTCTCCCTCCCACTCTCTCTCTCTCTCTCTCTCTCTCTCTCTCTCGCTTCACCCCTCCAACTAAGGGCCCGATAGATGAGGAGGATGAGCATCGCGGGTTGGCAAAATTTGGAAATTCTGCGATGCGTGAATTGGAGTAGTACGAGGCGGACTACAAACTTCAGGGACCGGGAAATAAATGAATCCTGCTAGCCTGCCATTTCCTAAAGAATCTCTGCTAGCTTGCCTTCCCAGTCGCCAAAACTGAAGACAAAAGTAGTAAATGCAACTATGGAAAAAATCTACAGTATCTGCCGGACAGCATGATTTAACCCAAAGTTAATTTCCGTTAAATCGGCCAAATCGGCAAATTCCCGGGTCAAAATCAGGGGTCTAGAAGGGCCGTCGACCTGAAGACGCTCATCGCCGTCGCCACGTGCTCGCCAGGCCGCCAAAACCGGGGTTTAGGTGATTTTGTTGCGGAAATCCCTGGGGGCCCAGGGGCCCCCCGGCAATTCCCTAAATTTACCCCCAAAAATATTTCGGCGGGAATTTGATGAAAAATAGTGAATATTGCCGAGGAATTAAGCAAAAATTCCCCTTTACCTAAAGTTTTCTGGGTGCTAAAAATCAATTGTTATATATTAGAGAAGTCAAAAAGCGAAAAATCCAGGCGAATATTGTTTTGTACAGCTTTAGGTGGCGTAATTGATTGAAAATGGAGGTAATTAAACGAATTAAATTAGTAAGAAAATGGGCATAGCAAAAAATTATATGGCGTGATCGGTGCTGCAAGCAAAAAAAATTTCAAAAGGATATTAGGGATTGCAAC